CTAAAAAATAACCAAAAGTCATCCCCCAAAGTAACAAATAACCAACCCATATTTAACAGATGACATTAATGGCATGGTTAACATGGTCAGAAAACATCACATCACCAATCCATATTCGGCAGAAGACACATTACCACACATTACCATTATTCATTAGGCAACACATGCCATAAAGATACTACAACCATATAAACTGAAATGCACTTGTTCAGAAACTCAAATGACGTAAATACTTATTGTTTTCAAGAAGGAATATATACAACATATATATACCATTGTGTACTCTTACATTGGAGAGTCAATAAATCAGAATGACGTGTAAGTACTAGAATTATGTTTATAAGGAGATAAAACATGTTCTAGTGGACAATAAGCCTTCATAGACAGGTTGGAATATTGCAGCTTTGAGAGAGACAGATAATCAATTAGTTTGTTTGTTTGTTTGATATTAGATTTTAAGGGGAAAATTTTGAGGGCTTTGTGTAAAATCATTGTAACTATATGTAGTACAAAATGAACAGAAGAGTTGATAAGTAAAAATAAAACAAAGTCCTTATGAATGGAATGTAATAACAATACATGTAATAATTGGCTCACATGCATGCCTAATTAATTAATTGTTTTTGGTTTTTTGGTGCTGATTCTGAACTACTAACATTAATTAACTGCTCAATATTAGGTGAAATGATTATAAAAATATAAATGATTTAAATCCTTCTAAAAAAATCCTTCTAAAAACAGCAGCATCATATAATGTTCTGGAACATTCTGTTTACTAACAGCTTTCATATGTAATAACCTATAATTTATTATGTTGCAACCATTTTGATAATCGACCATAAGAAAAAAATTATTATTTCACCGTTTTAAATTTTGTAAAATAAAACATTAGATGTAGCTAACAACAATAAATCAAATATTTGCATTGTTTCTGTATGTCACACCACCTGCAACAATATTTTTCTGTTACAACAATTTTTTTTTTAATATCAACGTCATGCAACGCTTTCTACACTGAATTTCTTACATGGACTTTGAAATTGAAACTGCCCTTCGAAGTTTGAAGAATTTCCTTATAAAAGTAACATTGGGCAGCAAATTAGCAAGATAGAGCCTGGAAATACGGCATGGGACTGTGCTGACTTGTCTGGTTCTACAATATACACTGGTGGCATACACAAATCATTATTAACTTCTTAACCCTTACCCTGCTGAATTTATAATATGGACTTGTCCAGCAATCATTTTTTGGAACTGTCCATTATCAATTTGGGGACATTAATATGAAAATTCAAAGATGATCAGTCAACCATAAAGAGGTGTGTCAGACTGCACAGATGTGCAGCTTGACCTGGCTTTATACTGGTTCCAAATGCTTATCTTTTTAAGATCCAGCAGATTACAGATTAAGGAATAAAGGTAAACAAATAAATAATTATAAATAACAGAAATTTCAAGCTTACTTTTCCGCCCCCAAATATATCTTTTAGCACACAATGGTGGATCTGGACCTATATCAATAACCTTCACCCTTGTCTTCTCGAAGTCTGATTCGACCCCAATTTTGACCTCAGAGGTCAAGGTCACTTCCCGTCCGTACATTTTCCATGAATTTCCATGAAAAAATACCGGAAATTCATGGAAATCTCCAACTCTGGATAATTCGGACTAGTTTTCCGGAGTTTTTCACGGAAAATTGAAAAAAAATCATGGACACCTTCCACGAATTTCCAGAGCTTTTTTCATGAAATGTTTCCGGAGTTTTCCGTGAAAATGTTCCGGAGTTATCAAAGAAACTCTGGAAATTGTTTTCCTTATATGTTATAGTACTCTGGAAAAAATTTCCACAGTTACTCTGGAAAAAAGTTCCAGAGTTACTCTGGAAAAAATTTCCAGAGCCACTCTGGAAAAAAGTTCCGCAGTTAAAAAAGGTTCCGCAGTCACTCTGGAAAAAATTTCCAGAGCCACTCTGGAAAAAAGTTCCGCAGTTAAAAATAGGTTCCAGAGCTACTGTGGAAAAAATTTCCAGAGCCACTCTGGAAAAAAGTTCTGACCTTAGGGATACTGTAGAAAGAGGAAGTAGTAGTGGCGGCATGGCCGAGCAGTTAATATATGGACTAGTAATTTAATGATAGCAAGCTGCATTGGTTCAAACCCTGTCAGGGACAAGTTGTTTCATTGAGCAAGAAACTTTACACTCATTGCTCACTACGGGTTGGTTCCAGCAACCGATTTGAAAGTGTCTTTATAAGCTAATACCTTCCTACACAGTCGACTAAAATAATTTCTCTTAAAACCACTAATTCCAGGTCTCAGATGGACAGTTGGACAGACAGAAGCAAATCATTCTGTGCCAGTAGCATAATACATTAGTGACTTAATCTTTCATACAGTTGACTTTATTAAGAGTTTTATGCAAAAAAAAATAAAACTGACCTAATGATATAACTATCTTTTATTTTAAGATGCATTCTCATTCAATCATACATTTGAACCTTAACTTCTGTAATCTGACTTTTTAACATTACATAAACAAAGAGATAACTATAAAAATTCTTTGAACATCTTTAATATTTATGGACACAAACACATCATATCAAGTCTCTTCATTTGTTTAGTGTTGGTTTTAATATCTCCCTTAACTTTTCTTTGGTATGTGATTGTCCTTGTCCATATTTTTCATGAATAATATCTAAAAAAAAAAATAAATAATACATATGATATAATTATTAGGTTGAAAGTATTTTTTGCAAACATCAATGTATTTGTACGAAAAAAAGAAGCTGTATAAATTCATAATTACATTGGGTTGCAGCTTAAGAAAGCTTTTGTCTAATTCACATAGATTCAGCATTGCAAATATGTCACATCATAGAGCTAGCAATGCCCATAGGAAGAAAAATAATGACAGCAATAGCTTGATATAAAAAAGGAGGAGAAAATCTACTTAAAATTTACTTGTGTTTTCAATTAAGAGCCATATTTGGACCATTGCTTAAGACGCCATAAATTTAAATTCATTGTTAAAGTCTTATTACATATCACAATGCTATTTTTATAATTTGGCAAACAGTTAGAATATTTTACCACAAGAATGATTAAAGTTCATTAATGTATCAAAATTTATTGAAATATAACTCACAACTGTCAGTCAAAGTATTTAAAATATTATCAAATATGCATGTCTGGCATGTAAAAAATTTACCAACCATATATTATGTGCAATTTGGTTTGGTCTTCAAGTGGTGGCCTTGCCAGGTACCGCTTATTCGGCTTTCCGCCACACAGGGACCGGCCGCGATACTCTTCTTCCTTGTAAAGGGTCCTAAATAGCGTTTTTGCGGCCTTGGAATAATCAGTAACCCCTTCAATTTTTGCTAAAAGCTGATTCTGAAACATTTTTGACAAAAAATAATGAAAACTACATAGAATGGTTATAAAGGGATTAGTGGCAAATCACCCTAACTAAACATTTCTTGAAATTTATTTTCTCATGTTTTAATTTTCAAAGGCACTTTTATTTACATAATTAACTCACAAGAAACATAATTGATTTGTTTTTGTATTTACAGAATGTAATAATATAAGGAGTGCTAAGGTTTGTGAATACACAATATTTGATCATGTTGGCCTTTGGATGTTTAGCTATTTTTTACAGATTTATCAACAAAAATAAATCATAGCTATAATTTAGTAAAATGAGTTATTGTTCACATAAAATTTAATTAAGTGTCTTTAAAAATTTCACAACTGGATCAACTTTGAATACAAGTAAGTTTCTGCTTTACATTTCAGTATAATATTACCTTGGTATAAGACCCATATAGCTGTTCTTGTGGGCTTGTACAAGTACTTGTTTCACAATTCTGGAAATCCTGGAACCACAATTTTTTAAAAAAGAATAATTAGACAGACTTAATACAGAGCTACTTAAAGATTTCTGTTGTAAACATAATGATTTTTGACAACAGTTATTCAAAATATAGCCAAAATTTCTCTAAAGATGTCAGTTACTTTGGTACCAATTATTAATAAAGCAATGGACAAGTAATTCTTTTTCAGTCATAAAATTGAAGTAATCCAAACAAATATCATTACAAGACTTACTTAGAATTCAATTAGATTTGTTACCTGTTCTAAAGATGTCCGTACCCCGTTCCCTTGACCAACATGTCGGTGTGGCATGTGTTCACCCACCTTACTTTCCTGTAAGACAATAATATATGTGACTTAGCACATACTGGTACTAGGTTTTTACAGGCTTACAGCTCAATTACCAATGTCCAAGATTATATATAAAAAAGGACCAGCTCAAATACAGATCTCAGGTATTTCATTGATCAAAAATAGCACAGAATATGAACTGGCCAATGAAAAGACAAATCTCAGGAGAGAAAAAAAACCCTACAGGTCATTAATTCATTAAAATTTATATACAGTCAAACCTGCTTAAAGACCAACTCTGAATAAACTGGTAAATAAAGGATCACTCTTTGATTTGTTTGCCTTTATTGATTAAATAGAACAAAGTTGGTTCCAAATAAAGACTACTTGTCTTATAATAAAGGCCATGTTCATGGCCTTTACTCACAGGTATGGTCAGACTATACTAGTTTCTATTTTCACAGTGACCTTTTTACTAAACTTTTCTAAATTTAACTCAAAGAAAATAGAGGCAATACTATAAAAGTGTAAAAAAAAAAATTGACAATAATTTTAGCATCAGTGATCTTGACCAAAGTGATCTTTTACTATGTTCAAAGTTAGAAAGACCTCAAATTGTATGTTCCTATCAACTATGAAAAACATCAAGCAATTAATTAAGGCTGTAACAAGCATTTTTAAAGGAATTAAAAATCATTAAAGGTAGCATTGTGATTATTTAACTTATAATTTCATTATTACTGTCACTTTGTGATGTGTTAAGAAATGTCCATCAATATTTTTTGAACAAGAGCTTAAATGATATGCAAATTTAAGGACAAATGAGACAGCTTTCTACTTTAGGGATCACATTACTAGCAAAAAAACAAAACAATATAACAACCAAACCAACAAAAAATTTTTCAAATATACCTACAGATCGAGTGTATGTCTGTTCTCTAGACTGTTGTTCTGTAGTTCTGGGGGTGTAAAATTGTTGGTAGGATTGTTGCTGAGTGCTTAGCCAATTAACTCTGTTCTCAAGCTGAAATAAATGTTTATGGGTATAAGGTGAAAATTTATTGAACACAAATAAAACAAAAACTCTTAATGAAATAATTCCCTTTAAACATGTGGTAACTTTATTAGTTAAAAGATGGACAATAATAACTTGTATGCAGCATAACCCTTAATAACATATAAACATATGATCGCCACCGTGCTAAAAGGGCACTTGGGCATATATGACATAACGTCAAAAACTTTGCAACTGCAAGTTTTGTTTAACATGAATTTGATTTTATTTAAGGTACTATTCTATGTTTTCGGTAAATTACTTAGGAGGACAATCAAGTTACAAGGGTTAACTTTTCTGTCTTAGGTTCAGTAGGTTCAAGTTTTTAATGATAAAATGCATTGATTCTACGAATACTTTTAACTGTATTTACTTTTATGAAAACAAATAAGGTTTTACTGCATATCTTAACTTTATATATTCTAGTAATTATAATTGTGTTAGTTTATTTTTAACAAGAAATTGGTATCATATTTTTGACCACTAAATAAGGCATTGTGTGTAAAAACTATCTTACTGATTGGAGCCAGTTCCAGATCTGACCAACCTGAAACGAGTTCAAGCCACAAGATGGCATTTGGCTTTGACATTCTTCAAATGTTGAAGAACTGGCTTCTTCATTATTAACCACACCCATGGCCTCCCTATAAAGCACTCCCACCATGCTGAAATAAAAGACAAAGGAAAATGGTTGTCATATAATTATCATTCATTATTCAATTTATCATCATTATTTCTATTATTACTATTAATATACCAGAAGAAATTTTTATACAGATTTTTTAAAATCTTAATTAGATTAAACTAATAGAAAAGGTATGCCTGCCAATTTAAGTTTTGATTCATCCATTTTGGTTATGGCCAACATGAATCACATGTTTGTTGCTAGTCAGTGAGAAGCTATTTGTTTCAATGAGAAATGCAAACATTTTAAGCAGAAACTTAAAATAAAAAGATTCATATAACAAGAGAGATTTAAAGTCAATTTTTAAATTTACTGGTGTTAATTATGCCCTATTTTTTACACCAAATCTTTTAAAGTTAATAAAAAAACCCAGTTTATTGTTAAAGAAAATTTTTAGTGAATTTAGTCTAAATGTGTAAAGGTTAATTGATTTACAATGTGATAATGATCTTACCCATGCTTTTGGTTTTGTGGTGGTTTGAAGGCAGATGCTTCACTGTGATTCAACAGGTCCTTAAAAAAAGAGAAATTCATAAGACAAATAAATATTATTTCAGATTTATTAACTTCAAGCTTTATAGTGTGACTATAGATTTTACATCTATGTATTTGTTAATGTCTTGTGAAAAGAAAGAGTGAAAATATCACAAGAATAAAACTAATAACACATGAAAATGATATAAAATGAAGTTTATTAGATAAGTAAACCATGATGGCCATTACATGGAGTATAATAAGGGCTGCTCATTAAGAAATATTTATATACAACCCCGAGCTAATCGGATCCTAGAATTTTTCCAAATAACGGTTGTGACATGTGACCTTGTTGAATAAATTATCACTCCTCTTTATATTGGCTACTGCATTAGTAAGACAGTGGATTATGCAAAGAAGAAACACAATATATGTTCACACTTTGGTCAACTTTTTTTTTTTAATTAAGATGTCAAATGATGGATTTAATATAAAACCTAACTTGACCAGTATTTACTGCTTACCAGAAATTTTATTTCATTTTTTTCTCATTTTCCATCTGCAGGCAAGGGGCTTTAAAGTTTTTGAATGACAGATATTGATCAAGTGGTCATATAAATTAGCTTATAGTTTTCTTTAAAACAGACAAGCCAAAATAGATTTTCTAATTACTTACTAGCTCATTGTTCTCTTCAATTTCATGTGGTTCTTTTACTTCTGTTCCTGTATGACTTAAGTCAGTCATTCTTAAACTTTTTTCAGGTTGAGGTATGTTGATTTTTGTGCTTTCCTAGAATTGAAAGATAATTAAAAGATATGTAACTCTATGATAAAAATAATATTCCAGTAATCTAAAAGCATATTTAGTTGTTTGCATGCTTTCTACCTGTTACACGTATTATTACGTTTTCCGAAACTACAGAATAATTAATTTTTGAAACTCAAAATAATAGTGTATGTGTGAGTTAGCAAGTTAGTAAGATTTAACTGGGTGATAAAACACGGTGTTACATTTTTAATTATTCGGAATCAACCAAAAATGGTCATGAACTAGTATTGAAACAATTATCGTTAAGTGTATAAATTTTAACGCTTTTATTCATTAGATCATCCTTTTGTGTAATATCTAACAATAATACAAAATTTCCGCAATTTGCAATCTGCCCACCTTACAAGAGCTTTATAACTTTTAATTAATGTACTTAGTCATATCGGCAATGTTCGCCTTATCCCCCAATGACATCATCGAAAAGCAACAACTTATTCCAGGTCTATAATCATATAAAATAAGTATTAATGAAAATAATATCATACTTCACTCCCAATTTCCAATATGTCATTGTCACATGCAGTCTTAGCTTTTGTGGAAGATTCTAACTCTGTCAATTCTAACTCAGCAGACACTTGAGCCTACAAAACATTTGATTTGCAAACATAATACAAATACTTCTATTAATTTTTATAACAATTTTTTCCTTATTTAAAAAGGTCAAGCATGAGTTTTATAATGTTTAAATAATGATTTTAGAGCATGTTAGAAGCTATACACTCCTCAGGATAGTAGCATTACATTCAAAATTATTTGTTATAAAAGAAGCAAAATGTAAACAAAGAAGTGTTATGGCTACCATTATAAAATACTTAATTACTATTACTTATAGCCAAGAGGCAAAAGAAGCAAAATTTTGTTCAGGTAATTGGCCAATGGGACTCTAACTCAGGACATCAAAAATGAAAAGCTTAAAATTGAGACATGATAATAAAATTTAAAAACATTTCACAGTGATAATGGGCTTGTAAATGACTTTTTACATTTATACAGATCTTGTATATTAAAATCATAATCATATTTTTTATTTAAATACAAAACTTGTACATATCAGATAAAGTTATGCACATTGTAATACTACTTAAATTCATTTAATTCAATTATAATTACCAAAGATTTAAGCTTCTTTGGAGTGGAGAGTTTAGTTTTTTTATCAACTGATGTGACCTTGGACTTTTTTTTCTCTTGTTCTGGCACATCTGATGTCCTTGATTTCTTTGCAATTAACTGAAATTAAATTTCTATTTCTATATCAAATCAACTTTCACCAGTTTATTCTACATATTTTTTTCTATACTGCTATATTTTTAGAGTTACCAAAGGGAAATAAATCCTGCATATTTTTTCATTTTGGCAATTTATTTATTTTAAAGCTGCATGCCTCCAGATGAGCAAAAATATTTTGATAAAATCAAACCTGAGTACTATGTACTAAGATTTTAGATAGTGTATAATATATATTCAAAATTCTAGTAATAATTTACATGTTATGTGCATTAATGACCAATTTTTAAAGTATTTATAACTTTATTTCTACTGTGTTACTACCGCAGTAATGGCTATTTTTGTATATTATGACCTCTTTATGGTAATGTATGGTACATGGGTTGTAAGTGCAACTGGTAATGTGTAAATTGCATTCTTTTGGTAACTTCACATTATACTGTTAAACACATTTTCAAATTTTCATGAAAATTAGTATGAATCTGGAGGTGTGCTTCTTTAACATTGCTGTTGCTATATAAATTTGTTTTGACTAAATACCATGCAATTACATGAAATGCTGACAGGTACAAGAAATTATAATTATGATTTGATTATAAGGTTAAACAAGTATTATTTCTGATAATAATGTTAAATAATGTTGAAGTATTTTACCGGTAAATCAGATTTTCTCCTTTTCAAATGGCCCAAGTCATCAATGGTTTCCTCCTCGTCTTTGATGTTAAATTTTTCTTTTAACTCGTTAAATGCATCCCCTCTTAATATATCCTCTAAATTACTGCGGTCTGTTTCTCCTACAACCAAAATATAGAAATATACATTATAGGTTCAACTTGATAGCATCATTTCATTAAGCAGGGCCTTAATTACCTTAAAGGGGACTGAGCCCTTGAGTAGGGGAATTTTGTATCATTTTGAAGAAAGCATTTTTTTCCCTTTATTAAAAAATACAAATAAAAATATCTCAATTATTGAGGGGAATGGGGCAAAAATCATGAAATTAATCTTGATTGAGGATATTGGTTTCAAATGAGTGAATAACAAACATTTACTTTGAAAACTAAAGAAAATATTGTGGTCACTTCACATCTGATTACAGTGGGTTCATTCTGCTATAAGCATATTAGATCTCTTTATCTTTAATTGATAATTTAATGATGTGACTTCATGATTTCCTACCTATGGCCTAGTTAATTTAATTTTGTATTTAACTCTTACTATGGCAAAATTTCTATACAGTTTCTATGTTCACTGTCAATTTTAGGAATTATAAAAGTAAAAAAAAAGCCTGGTCATGCCAATGGCAAAGAACTTTAAGGAAGTGCAGGCAGGCTTATCTTCATACTGGTGGTTAGAGCAAATCACATTCAGTGTTATTTAGGAATCATAAAAAAGTGGCTGAACTGTACAATAATCCATCCATATGTTGTTATATATAAAATCACCTTTTCACAGCAAACCCAGTACAAGTAACATTTATCTAAATACAGATTTATGGTGCATTACACAATATTTGCATTTTATTGCTCTATGATTGCTACAATAGTGGGCATCCTACTGTGTATTGTACAATTGTATTGCCTTGTTTTGATAGTGCTGATCAAAGGCACTTCCCAATTAATACATGTAGATTATGTCAGCATGAGCAAGATCAAAAAAGATTAAATCATTCATTAGGCACTCCTTTATCATTATTTTCCCACGTTGAAAGTAGGGTAAACATGTGTGTGACCTAAATGACATAACTGTACACTGCATGGATAATTATAGATGGAATTTACCAATGCCCCATTTTGTTTATGTTTTTTCCAAAGTGGTAATTGATATTTTTCATGGTCATATCAATTGTTTCTTTGTCAATTTTCCCAGCAAAATCAATTTTGGTTATGTGAATAAATACTTTAGTTAAATTATAACACAGAACAGTAAGTCATCTAAAAATTAAATTCATGGTCAGCAAGAATTTTTAAATATAATGAAATAAATTTTTATGTGAAAGGACACTACTGTATATTCAACCTTGGCAACACAAAATTTCAAATAGAACAGGCTAGATCTATTTTTAAAAAAAAATGGAGAGTATCAAAATGGCGATCTTACCTCCAATTTTTGCCAACAAGCACTTGTGCAACCCTTTAAATCCCCAACACTTAGTTTCCACTATGTCTCCTTCTTTGTACATGTCAGTGCTCTTTCTAGGCACTTTTATGTCATCTAATTTCAAGATTGTTCCAAGTTTTTTTTTTTGTCATTTATCCAAATTCCTAAATGCAAGTGAATTCTCCATCATGCCACAACAAACAGCCAAACGCTTATCAGCATATTAACTGTGAGTTCCAAATGACCGCCAATACTGTTCATTATTTTGATTGGTCAATTTCAAACCACACCTGTAGTAGCTTGGCATCACATGTGGCAGGTCGTTCTGTGTAGTTTACCAGCTTACAATCAAAGATTTACGGGATCCTGCCTCATAATGTTTATTATTGTAGAAAAGATTATTTTATTTCTTTCCGGACATTCAAACAAAACAGGTTCTGGAAAGTGTGATGACATAATGGAGATAAAATTGTATACAAATTAACAGAGACACTATATACCTTATTATATTGCCTCTGAAATGAACAACGATGGATTCAGATAAGGTAATGTAAAAAGTTAAGGATTAGATAACAATGTTAGCTTTGGTATACATTATTAGTTAAAAAATATATTTTTTAATAATTGACCCTCATTACATTAAATCAAGTTAAATTAAATTGAACATAATTATATGGTCTTTAATTACCATGGATTAAGAGTTTATAATCATGTGACCATTGTACATATGATAGGGCCTATGCTTCATCAAATATTTTTATAACCCCCTGTTATGTATATATATGGCACAATATTTTCAAATGCCTGCTACCAATAATGAATTATAATTGAATTATTTACATGGCTAACGTTATTCCTTATGATAATGTATAAATTTTATAGGTACAGATATATTATGCTCAAATTTGATTTTTGAAGAAAAAAAACCTGATAATTACTGTAGTCAGTAAAATAAGTGTAAATAAAAAAAAAACTGACAGTTAAAAGAATCGACCAAATCAAATTAACGAATACTAGGAATCAACCTTTCCAAACTATAAACTAAGTTTATACATTCACTTCAAATTAGATATATTCATGATTTTAATAATCTTCTGAACAAATCTTTAGTACTTTAGTCCCATATAGTTTTACAAGTGGTATTATAATAATGTTGAACCTTGCTGTTTTTGCAGATGTATATAACACATCTTTGGAAGACTGTTGCACTGGGGAGAAAAAATGGATATGTCCAGATAAAGGGTGCCAAAAGGTGCTCTCAACTAAGTTCACATTGAAAACACATATTCAAAGTTTTCATCATTCACTTTGGAAAACAATAGGTAAGTTTATTTTACCAGCTTTATTTTATCATTATTATATATAAAATCCACCCCCCACCCCCCAAAAAAATAAATAAATAAAAAAGGAATAAAATAAAAAAAGAAAAGAAGAAAGGTAAACCAAAATATATATATAAAATGGCCTTAATATGGTAAAACTATTTTCAAGTACATCAAATTGAAGGAAAATCAGTCACCGGTTTATAATGGCTATCATATTGAAAGCAAATTTAATGTTATTAATAGTATTAATTATATAATAAGTGACAGTAATGCACAAAAAAATGTTGTATACTTGAGACAATTATCAAACTACTGACATACTATACTTTCAAAGCAGACAAAAAATTAATGTGATTTTATCAGGTAGCCACACAGTAGTCTGTGTAAACCTCATAAAAAGTGCTTAAGTCTATTTTAGTTACAGAGTTCCCTGAGAATTGTCATCTAGCTACTGAGATCACATAATGTTGTTAGCTTAATATGACTCAAAGTTGACCGACTTAAAAAAGAAAAGCAATCTCTTAAAATATTTTTACAAATATCAATGACATTGAAAGTTTGAAGTGACAATTAATGATGCACAATAATTTGAATGTTCCTTTCTTTAGTTAATGATGATGAAGTTTGCATTCTAATAATTCAATTCTATATTAATTTTTTCTCTTAATTTTAGACTACGCTGTACCTGCTAAAAAGTACAAACTTTATGAAGTAGACTCTTCAATACCAGTACCACGAAGCACATATTATGCAAAGAAAAGAAAATTTGAGTGAGTCTATTATGCCTTTATATATATGTATATATATTATTTTTTGCTTGAACATGTTCAAAATTTATTGCATGGTGTAAGCTATGGTTAACTATAGTCATGTATCAGATTAAAAACTACATGACAGATTTTACTTTAACTTGCATGATATTCGAACATTTTATGTGAAACAAAATTAGGGTGTCACCAACCTTGGTTTCTGAGTAATCTGCCCATATATTTGTTTTTTTTTGTTATTTAAGGACATTTCAAGGACAGACAACTTAAGCAGTATAAGTATTTAAAAAATCGTATTTTTAAATGTTTTACAAGGTCAGTGGCCCCTGCATGTATAATTAATGAGAAAGCATAATTATGTATTTTTTTTTTCAAATTGTGGTATTTTTGAATGTATATTTTTCTTTTAAAATATAATTTCAGAGCACTTTATATGAGAGATGATCCAACTGTTATTGCCAACAAAAATCAAGAACCAAGTGATTCTGAAAATAGCATTTACCCCCACACATTGGCAAATGTTCAGCATGCTGAGATATTTTATTCTGTTGAAACAATTGAAAGATATGGAGATAGCGGTGATGAGGAAAATGTAAATGCATCCACAAGTGACATGAGTATATCTGATGATGACACAAATTCTGAGTCAAATGAAGACGAAAATACTGAAAGTGATGCAACAGTTGACATATGTATACCGGCGAATGAATTAAATAATAGTGGACCACCATTGTATGTATTGCCTGCACATAATGATACATACTTAAGTCGAATTACACTCTCTGAACATGCCCTTGGACTGGGTGCTATTGCCACTCGACACAATCTTTCAAATACTGCAATTCATGATATTTTGAAGTTAATTCAACTGCATTTGCCACAAGAAAATATAGGACTGACATCAATAAGCTCTCTGCAGGATCTTTGTGGATTTAACAAAGATTACTTACAGCATCATATCTATTGTGAAGTGTGTAATAAATTATTCACCGGTGATGAAGAAAGCTGTGCTACACCAGGATGCCATAGCAATAATGAGAACAAAAAGTATTTTGTTAAAAGTGATATCAAAATGCAATTCAAAGAAATCATGGAGAGGCCTGAAACTTGGCAATCTATTCAGGAGAGCTATTGTCTTCAAAATTCACATGTTATATCCGACATAAAATCTGGAACTGCATACAAGAAACTCAAAGAACCAGGTGGATTTTTGTATCAATCAACTAATATTACATTAACAATGTTTACAGATGGTGTTGCTTTATTCAAAAGTTCTTCAGTGTCTTTATGGCCAATATATTTACTAATCAATGAAATTCCTCCAAAAGAACGTTTTCAGAAAAAAAACATGATTCTTTGGGGTATCTGGCAAGGTGTGGGTAAACCAAAGATGCTTATGTATCTAAAGCCATTTGTTCTAGACCTTTTAGATCTGTATAATGATGGATTTAATTTCACAACAGTAGATAATGAAATTAATTGTAAAGCAATGCTTATAATTGCTACAATGGATCTACAAGCAAGAGCCTATGTTTTCAACATGACACAGCACAATGGGGAAAATGGTTGCATGTTTTGCAGTGAACCTGGGGAAACGGTACGCTCTGGAGCTGGTTACTGCAGAGCATATCCATTCAAAGAAGCCGAAGCTCTACGTACAGAAGACGAAATTCGACAATGTGCTAAACAGGCTCGAACCTTGAACAAACGGGTTGCTGGGTTCTATGGGGAATGTGCTATGATGTACCTGCCATACTTCAAGTTATCTGAAAATGTAGTTATTGATTATATGCATGGGATTCTACTTGGTGTGTCCAAAAAGCTCTTAGAACTTTGGTTTGATAGCAAGCATTCTAAAGAGGATTTTTATATTGGAAATAATATGAAACAAGTTGATAAGCATCTTTCAAAAATTAACCCACCTTATTTCATCCACAGAAAGCCACGACAAATCTGCAACAATTACCATCACTGGAAAGCTTCTGAAATTCGAAACTGGCTTTTGTTTTATGCCATTCCATGCCTGAACGGTATACTTAAAGAGCCATTCTTAACCCACTTTAGCTGCCTTGTAGAGGGAACATACATACTCCTACAGGAAGGCATTACACCCGATGATCTTCAGCGGTCAAACACTCTGTTAAAGGCATTTGTCAAGAATGTCCAACATCTGTATGGTGTTCAATACATGAGTATGAATGTACACAACATTTTACATCTTCCAGCAATGGTGAAAAAGTGGGGGCCCCTATGGGGATGGTCATGTTTCCCCTTTGAATCATATAATGGAGATATCATAGCATGTGTTCATGGCAAAGGCAATGTATGCAAAGATGTCTTCTGGCATCTTCAGGCACAAAAAAGAGTTAACTTAAAAGTAAAAGATCTCCCAAGCGGTTCTCCCACAGTGCAATTTGTAGAAAAGATGTTTGAAGGCAAATTGCATGGAGAATCTAATAATGCAATGCAATGTACTGTGATAAAGCAAATTGCTGCAAAAACTCTAGATACAATGGAAAGAGAATACTTAGAAAGATATGTTGGTACAAGTGAGATTAGGGAGTACATGACATGCAATAAAATTATCAGAAATGGGTTTGTCATGTATAGCATGAATTGTTCTAAAATAAAAAAACAAAATTCCTACACAATACTGCTTGATGTTGTTGAAGATAAAGGGCACAGACAGGCAATAGAGGTTAGCAAGTTCATTATTCACCAACCTTCAAAATCTGTATTTGCCGTAGGACATCAATTGGTAGCCAAGGACACAATTCTCAAAAATCGGGTCCCTCATATTTGGATTTATGAAAGGTAAGGCAACATTTGATAGCAAAGATATAAGCTTAATCAAATTGCTTTATTCCCATAAAATGTCATTTAGTATTAAAGTAACATTTGGCACATTTTAAAAGTAAAACAGTCTGTAGGTATTGTTGTTAACAGCCTGAAAGCATTGCGCTCCATTTCTTCAAGATGTATAGTATTGAATCAAACATATATTTTCAGTATACAAATTTTATTTTCAGGAGGAACAAGACAATTTTTAGAGTAAAGAGACTGCAAGAACCACTTATTGTGATGAATGTTGCAGGGTACATTTATTGTGCAAGGTTTCCTAACAATCAAGAAACAGATTGAAGCACTCATGACACTGAGCATAAATGTATTTTGCAAATAACTTTTTAACAGGGACATGTACATGTATATACATAATACTTATAAAGTACTGATATCACAGTTTTATTTTGTGTATTTAAAAAGTGCTTACTTGGCAGACTGTTACATTTATGTGCTGGCAAGCAAGTCCACGTGATTAAGTGATTTTTTTTCATGCTGTTTAAAGTGATATTTTCTTGGTCTTCATGTATATTTTATAAATTCCATATATAAATTGTGTTTTATTCTTATATCTTTAACCCTGAAAATAGTTTCATTATAGAAAAAAGATTATACATGACTTAACTTAATTTGGAGGACTAGTTTATCTTAAGTGAAGTAAATGCTGAAATTAGTTGAAAATTTTCTAAGTCCAAAATCAGCTGAAAATTTTCTAAGTCCAGAACATTCACAAAAATGACTAAGTGTTTTCCAGAGTACAACTCCTTGAAAAATTTCTAAGTGTTGACTTTCCAGAGTTTCCGGAGGTGTTTCATGGAGATACTCTTTGATGGTAAAATCATGTTCCAGAGTTCTCCATGAAAATTTTTCCAGAGTACTCTGGAATTACTGTGGAAAAAAGCTGGTTTCCATGAAAATTCACGGAAATTCATGGAAATTCTGTTATTTTCCAGAGTTTTTCCAGAGTAACTCTGGAAAATCTACAGACGGGTTTAGTGTCCTGGGTATTATCCCGCTCATAAGACTGTCTCACTTCAATCTCATCATAATACGGATCAAACTCTTCTAACGGATACATCACTCCTATCATAATGTGTTCCCGTTTTTAAAATTTCGAAAATTTTATTTTTACGTTTATCTTCTTACACTAAAGCCATCATAATATCCTTCTAAACCAAATGTAGGAATCAACACAAAAATAAATAAACTGTCTCTCAAATTGTTATAGTCAAGACCAATGAATTTTCCATCTTCGGTGCAAACACCCACGAAATCTTTCTAAATTCTCATCCGTATATTAAGAATATGACAACTTAATTAAAAATATGATTTTACGCATTGCTCGGTCCCTTAATCCCTCAATACTGATAATTCAATAGACATTATTGTTCCCCATTATCAAGCAGTTCTACAGCCTATATAGAAAAACACTTGTTTTGAATTTTCTCCGTAATATTTACACAAAACTATTCAAAAAAAAGATTGCTTTCGCAGCGTGCGTCTAATGCAACAAATATAAACATTTCCCTTTAACAAAATAAACTCAATGTCATCCTTTTTTGAAATCAGTTACGCCACACTTAAATATGATTCAAAAATCAACAATGTGTAACTCAATGTTAAGTTCATTACCTTTGAAAAAAAAATCACACCAAAATATGTAATTCACTTATTACAGAGTGCTTTTCCCACAGTGACAAATCATTGCCTTTTGTGTAAAAACTTTCGGTAATAGACTTTTTATGGTACAGTTTCAATAAAATAAATCTCTTCCCATCAAATAAAAAAGCAATATAAACAAACATATTAAAATTATTTATAGAAAGCTTCTGGCCAGGTTCCCCCTGGCAAGTGCAACCATTGCCAAACAATGTTGTAATTCTAAACAAAAATTATTTGCAGCAAGGATTTTATTATCTTTTCATGAAAGATTTCCAATCATGACTTCATAGTTGAGAAAATGATAGCAACTGCTTTGGAAACCAAGGAATGACAATCGTAAAATCAATTCTATTTTATCACTTAAGACACTAAAAGCATTTTATATTAGGAATCCATCCTATAGGTTTGAATTTGTCAAATAAAGGGAGGTAACTCAAAACAATAATTACTCCAGTTCAGTTGAAATTATCTTTCCTGATGATTATTGATTCTATTGGTGTTTGCACAAGGTAAACACATATGTATTAACCAAATATTCTCATCAATTATTGAAGGTTTCAGGGTCAAAATACCAAAGAATAATTAGGACAAAAATAATGTAAAATGATTTGAATAATCAAATGTATCAAGGGTAAAATCTGAAACTTTTAAAATTGGTCAGTCTCGGAATTTAAGCATGTTTCTAGATTATTTTTTTTGGATTTATTTTCAACAACATTGTCAAGTATGGAATTATAAACAAAGCAGTGTATACCTTACAAAACCTTTTTCTATTTCTTCAATACCTACAGTTAAATTAATCAAACTTAACACATGATTAAAATTTCAAATTTGACCTGTGAAAATGCTAATAATTTAATAGTGCTCAATTTATTAGTGTTTTGCTTGTAAACAAATGTAAATGTCTAAAATTTGTCTTTCCATCAAAATTTTGTTACAATTCATTTTAACTTCTTAGAAAAAAAATAACGCATGCTAAAGACTAACTAATTCAAAACTAGCAAATAAACCTTAAAATCAGTAGAAATATAAAAAAAGTTCTACTTTAGTAATGTACAGTGTATATAATAAAATTCTAAAAGTTTCAAGGTTTTAAAAGCTTACACTGGTAAAGTAAAACATACACATGGTATACACAGAGACAAAAATTTCCGTTTGAAATTATTTAATTTGGCAATCTATGCCGTATGAATATACGTAATTGCCAATTATCTTTTACAATCTATAAAATGCTTGACTTGTTTTCATTGGCTAATGCCAAACGTTATAATAATATATAACTACAATTATATATGCCTGTTTTATCACTGACAATGCAATCCATTTTAGCACTCATACTTAAAAAAATAAATTGTCATGTATTTCGAGTTTAAAAGCCACATATACAGAAAATAGGAAATACTGATATATAGCAGCTAGCACTGACATAATTTGTTGATTTTCATTAAATTTTAAAAATTTCAAATTTTTTAAATTGCTGTCAATAATTTGATATTTTCAACTTCGCAAAATTGTTATCAATATTTTATATAGTGTTCAAAATAAAGTTAAAAATCCTTCATGTTTTTAAAAAATATAATTGATTTAATTTTTTAACATATATCTGGAAACATGCAACTTATAAAGTATAAAGAAATTGATTTTCCTTCTGACTGAAGTTACTGGCTTTCTATTCGAATATTGTGCTATAATTATCACTATTAAAAACCATAAAGTATAATAAAAATGGGTTTGTATACTCTTATAATAATCAAAAATAATTTATAATTCTTTACATGATGTCAGAAATCAGTTAACATGCGTCAATTTACCAAATTACGTGTAACGGAATACAAAATCGCCAGGTTATATTACAAATTGAATGGCATTCAAATCAATTTTATTCATTCAGGAAGTTAACAGTTTCAGTTTATTTGCTACTTAAGTACCTTAGATAATTTAACATAAAAATACATGTAACAGCAAAAATTTATGTAGACGAAAAGTTTAATGGAATTAAAAATTAAATAATCCAAAAATACCAAAGTATTAAAAGCTGTTTTGAAATTTAACCATGTAAAAAATCAAAATGTTATTTACATTCTTTACATATACAAAACACCAGTCACTATAGGTTTATTGAGCCCCCCACCAGACATGCACGAAAACAGCTGGGGCTTAGGGGCTTACATTTGTCTATGGGACACAATAAAGCCCTTGTAAATCTATCATATATCATGCATTAGAGTCCTATAACTCAGAACCTGAACAATGACAAATTGTCTTTAACAACTGAATTCTTCTCAATAATTAAACATATTCACTTTCTGTTTGGAATAAAACACATAACCCATATACATGCATGCATTGCAAATTTCACATGGCACCTTCAATATATACTGATATTCATATATTGTGTACATCAATATAAACAAGATTGTTGGTAAAACTGATGGTTGCTCTCCACAATATCACTTGACGGCACAAAATAACATGACCTGGCTAGGAAATCTATTTTTAACCTTGGTGACCTTGACCCATTTAACCTGATATTCATAGGAGGTACCAATAATGGAAATATCTAAAATATGGTTGGAGCAACCATATTTTAGATGTCACTTTGACAACACTGAAAACATTACCTGGCTTGAACAAAAAGTAAGAAAATCTTTTTTTAGTATGAGTGACCTTGACCCAATTTAATTTATGTTCATATGAGGTATTAACACTACAAATATCTAAGACATCAGCCAATTCATCAATATTTTCTAAATGAATATAAACCCCTTGAATTCTTTTTTATCTATTTATTTTTTTCACAACAAAAGCTTTCAACTTAGCAAAAATTTAAAGACCTCAAACAGAACATACTATTAGTCATGTTATTCTCAGAGTGGACAAACTTTCTAATCTTTGCAAAAAGTCGGGTAATGTTTATTAGGTCATATACATATAATCTTTTAGCTGATTTATATAATCTTCTGTAAATACCAAATACCATGTAGGTAATTATGAAATTTAGTACTTTTACACCGATCGAATCAATTTCATGTATGCACAATCCACGTCAAAAGGATAATTGTACTCTTCATGTTGACAATATATGAAAAAGAACACGTTTGTCATTGTCAGGCTTTTATCAGTATTGACTCCTCGACAATGAACCGCAAACTGTCTAATCACAAAAGGGATATAAGTAAGTTATAGAAACAGAAAAGTAATGAATAGCAAAATAACTGACAGGTTTGTCAATATCAAAAAAATAATGTTTATTTGATGTACGTCAGAGTTCAAAATTTAAGACATTGATACTCTATGCCAATTGAACGCTTGTATCAGATCCTTTTTCTTTGTGGTTTTATTTGAAACACTTTTTAATACAATTATTATAAATTACAATAAGGCTGGAAAAAAATTCTGTTTCTGGTCCTCGCCCTACAGAAAGATGGAAGGAAGGTAAAACTTTATATAATTTTCTATTTATATTATACACAGAAAAGATTTTTCAGAAAGGGAAAAGGTGATTAATAAGTTTACAGTCAGCACTTAATTATTTGCGGAAACAAGCGGATGTTTTCTATAAGACTATTTCTGTGAATACTAACATGATTATTATTGTGACCATTTTGTTAAAACAGAGAAAAACAGAATCCCTTAAGAAAAATTTCAAAACGACAAAATTGAAAATGTTGTAGGCTTGGTTTTATTATAAGCCTGTACAATGTAGACAGTACTGGAAAGTGCAAGTTACCATACATGCCCCTAGCACCGGCTTAAACAGAATTCAACATTTAAACATATGGTAATGGTGAAATTTTGAATTTTGAAACATCTGAAGATGTGTACACTTAGTGACAGTATTGTGATTTTAGCTGGTAAGAGAAACAAAACAGTTCATGTCACACAATAAATTCAGCTGGCTCGTGAGACTTTCCCAACCATGCATTTTGACAAGACTCACTCCTATTTTGTATTTATATTTAAATATTAAAAGCCTAACAGTGAGGACAATTACAAATTTTCAAACTGCAGAAATGTACAAATGAATGCACAAATTCAGCATATAAAAGCTTTACCATTGAACTGAATGGAATATACCTTGCACAAAAGACAAGAACCATAACTGCCGTCAAAATTTATCTTTAAAGAATTATTGTATTTAAATTTCTGCACCCAATTTGTACTTCCATGCACCGGGCTTCTTATCAACTCATTTAATCTACTTTCATTTCTTTATATATAAATATGTAATTACATATACAAAATGTATGCCAATTGAGGGATTCAAATCCAAATTTAATATAATAACAGGACAAGTAATATTC